TGTGCTTGCCACATAAAAGCAAACCGTTGAAAATTGTTGAGATCGGACTAAAATTGAGGCCGCTTTTCATATAACGGTAAATTTCAGAAATGCTTGAAATTTCAATATTTCGAAATTTAAGGACGCTAATTTACTTAAAATGTATACACCCAGGCTTATCATGTAGCGGTAGCTTTCGGAAAGGTGGAAAACATATATTTAATGCTTGCGCCGGGTATTTAATGTTCGGCTCCGCCCGAACTTAGACTTTCTTACTTGTTTTCAACTAAAAAACAGGCTAAAAACTTTCAAAAAGGTGAAAAAAAGAGCCGCTAAAAATTTGAGCTCTGAATATTATCATTAAGTGGCGCCTGTTCCTAACTTTCCATTTCACATATAAATAACATGGGAAAAAATGTTTCGTTTTTCTTATTTTTGTAGCTTGACATATAAGCATTGTAAAAATTAACTGAAAAATTATTTTGGTAGGAAATTGAACGCTCTACAAAAAAGTTCTAATTAATTTTTTTTACAGAGTGAGCCGTTCTGAAGATATACAAACTTAAAGTTGCAAATGTATGAAATTATGATTTTTATTTTATCAAACTAATACTGATGACTTTTTTTAAGTCTTATTTATGTATTGTTTATGTATTCTAGTTGTTGAAAAGTTTTTTTTGTAATCTATAAAATAATAATTTTACTGAACCTAGTTCATAATTACTTTTGTTTAAGAGTTAATCAAATAATAAAATAATATCTAAGACGTAATTTTTTTTTTTTATTTTAGCTTTATAAAAATATAAAAGCACAAAAACCAGTTTTCTGATTAAAAATCATTTTTAAGACATAAAAAGTCATCAGTATCAGTTTGATAAAATAAAAATCATAATTTCATACATTTGCAACTTTAAGTTTGAATATCTTCAGAACGGCTCACTCTGTAAAAAAAATTAATTAGAACTTTTTTGTAGAGCGTTCAATTTCCTACCAAAATGATTTTTCAGTTCATTTTTACAATGCTTATATGTCAAGCTACAAAAATAAGAAAAACGACACATTTTTTTCCCATGTTATTTATGTGTGAAATGGAAAGTTAGGAACAGGCACCACTTAATATTAATATTAAGAGCTCAAATTTTTAGAGGCTCTTATTTTCACCTTTTTGAAAGTTTTTAGCCTGTTTTTTAGTTGAAAAAAAAAGTTGCTCAAAAATGACACAGCCTATTCCTCACTGCCCACGACGGCGACGATTTGTTTCAAAATGCCTCTTTTTCCAGTTCAACGATGCACTGTTGTTGTGTTATGGTTATCCACGTCGAAAGTTGTAAACAATCATACGAAAACATTCTTTTAAAACCTACTTTTTTTGTCTGCTGGAAACTTTTAAATAACTGTAACAACATAGAGAATGTTCGTACTGTTCTAAGAACAAATATGCTAAAAAATGTCAAACTTTACTAAGGTGAAGGTCGGTTTTCCTCGCAGATAAGACCTGCTCTAAAACACTCTTCTATGCGATTTGCAAATGTCCGGAAAATTTTAATGAAATATGTTAGGAAGCTTATGCAATTTTTTTAGATTTTTTGGAACTAAAGAGAAAACTTTTGATTTCAGTTAATAAAAATTTCTTAAAAATAGCAAATGCTACATTTGAAACATTCGCTTTGTATTTCTGTCAATGCACTA